TTATTCGTTTATTCGTTTTCAGTCATGTTCATGGTATGGATGAATGTTTATCTCGTAAATGCTTCTGGATGGTGTCTATCGCAGCCCTTGTTGTTTGTTGTAATCGTTTTTCCCACCAGATAATAAGTGTGGGTAGTGTAGGCGATTTTGTAGACTGTAGTAGGGCTGTTGTTGTTCGATTTTTTGCTGTAATTTTGTGTTCAAAGTCGAAATTAATGAAGATGATCAATCTGGAGGCGGCGGCTAGGGTTTCAGCATTCACCGGGGCAAGTTTTGTCGGCAAAAACCGTTTTGGCCATAACTTTTGCTACAGGTGTCCGATTTCAGCCCATAGTACCATTTCAGAAACGGGAGAGCGAGATCTACTCATGTCACTGCTTCGCCAAGAAGACCTGTTGCGGGGTCAAATTCAATCGTCTAGATGAAGTTTTCGGCCCTTTTCCGTCGGTGGGTGCGGACTTTGCATGAATGGCCCGATTTATGCGAGATGCCGATTCGAGTGTTCATCCACGACCTTGCTGAATCATGTAATAGCTTTGATAGGCTGTTAGTGGTTAGTTTTAAGGGGCTGCGATAGATGTGTTTTAATTTTCACAATTTTATCGCTTTGTGGATGCCGATTTAATTTTTGCTAGAACATGTTTATTTGATTATGTGTCTAGCTGATTTAAATCGATTTTCTGGCATGCTAGAAATCATGTGAATAGGTGCTATAAATTCTTAGAAAGCTGTCATTGCTTTTGTTTTGAATTTTAAGAGCATGCTAGGATTTATGTGATTTGCGTGTAAGGAGCATGATAGGAATTGTATTATTTCTTATTGCATGCTGTTAAAAACCTTCAAGTAAAAATGACTAAGTGAGTTTAAGAATTTTAATTAATTCATTTGGCCTCCACAATTGGTCTTTAAGTAAGGTGTCTGTCGCTCGCGGGACCCTGGGAGTCTCCCCCTAACGGATGCAGCATTCACGAGCTTACTAGATAAGACTTCTATTCAAACGACTTAACCTTTAGGTGAAGTGAGTGGCGTACGTGTGACCCATGGGGTCTCCTCCCTAACGGATAGTGTCATTCATAAGCTCACCGGTAAAGATTATTTCGAGATAACCGTAGAAAATTATTTACAAGCGATGTGTCTTCCCCATCGGTAGGTTCGTCAATTGTGGATGATTGTTCTTGGGGTTAAATTGTGGTCATCACTTAGATGTGAATTTTAATATAACTCCCCAACGGAGTCCCTGTTTTAATTCACATAGCCAGCATTAATATTTCGACTATTAATTTCATTCGCCATAAGGACAGGTTGGCGTGCAATTGAGATTAATGACTGGGTGTCTCCTTAATTGAAATATGTGTAAACGTCCACCCAACGTGGCTTGCATGTGTGTTCGTTAAGTTGTCGAAGGTTGCATTAAATAATGGTTTTTTGAAGGTTTCCATATTTTATGCTTCATATTTATGTGAATTGTTTCTTATGTGTTTGCAATTATTTATTTCAGTTATTCATCATGTCATTCAATCCGCTTATGGTCATTCTCAATCAAAACAAGCTTACTGGTCCAAATTATTTGGACTGGAAGAGAAATCTGGATATTGTCCTTATTGCTGATGAGTACAAGTTTGTGCTCACCGCTCCTGCTCCTGCTCCTTTTAGCGCCCAATCCACTGAAGAGGAAAGGGAGGCTCATCGGAAGTGGCATAAGGCTGA